AGGAGGAGGAGGAGGAGGAGGAAAAAGGAGAAGGAGAAAAACTAGAGGACATAAAGAATGATGGATGACAGTAATTTAGTGTCTGTCTTGAATCAGAAGCCTTGTTCATGGTAGTTTTTCACCATGAGAGACTTCCATTTTTACTTTGTGCATAGAATCCCCACCTCAGGAGATCAGGATGAGAAGAAGTTGAAAGGTAAAGATACTGAGTTGAAAGTAAGATAAGATATACTCATCACTGTACAAATGTACACTTTGACTCACTGATGCATTATCTCTAAGAACACAGATGGTATCTTCTATAAAATAAGATATATGATCTGAACATTGGGTGAACATCAACATGAAGTCCCCAGATTATAAACAAGTTGCATTTCTAAGTCTACCTTTGTACATTAGTTACATTTGTAGGCAATTCAGAAGAGGTAGGTACAGTTAGTCTCTAACTTTCATTAGTAAAATGTTTGTCTTCATTCAGGAAGACTCAATCTCTTTGTGGTCAAGTCAGAACTGACTCATAGCTGACCTTCAGCTGGATTTCAAAGATGATAAACCACACAGAAGGTGATTTTTCTTTTTTTTTTTTTCCTGAGGAGAAGCTGGGAGATTAGAACTACCAGCAAACTGTAGCCTTTGGTTTAGCAGCACAATCCCTGTTGGACTATCAAAAAGGTAAAGAAATAATTCCAAATACACAGGTAATAAAGTAATTAATAATAATAGCAATGGCGACTTTTGTTTGCTGGGTAAGTTCCATGTTCCTCTGCTCTGGGCGTAGAACTCCCAGAAAAGGAAAGCAAAATGGTGAAGGGGAGATTGAAAAAGCGATATATATTTGTCTCAACAATGCACAAATGTACATTTTGCTTCACTAACACAGAAGTATTGCTTAATACCAATGGTGTGGCTTGGTGGTAAGAAGCTGTGCTGCAATCCCAAAGGCAGGCGGTTCAAATCCATTAGCTGCTCCATGAGATAAGGATGGACAATCTCCTCCCAAGGGATTTAGTGCCTCAAGAACCTGCTTTGGAAAGTCAGCTATGAGATCGGTTCTGACTTGACAGCACACAAAAATAATAGCAGTGTGATGTGCAAGACGAGTAGTACTTATTTGCTTTTATAGGTCATTGGATGAACCTCATAATAGCACAGACTGTTGAGTCTACAAACTCATGAGCCTATAAACTTCCTAGACTGACTCTTCAGATTAACCTGAGGTAGGCTTTCCAAATGGACCACGCATAATTTTTGCTTCTGCATCAGAGCTCTATTATCTTACCAGGCTTAGGGACAATGAGTTGTGCACTGGTCTGGCCATTTCCAGCCTCACTTTCTGCCACGCACTGATAAAAGCCTTCATCTGATTTCACCACACCAAGGATCCGCAAGTTGGTTCCTCCCTAAAGAAGAAAACAATTTTAAAAGTATGCAAAATATTTTACCAAAGTAAAGACGTAAAGAAGAAAAAGAAACAGAAACCCCAAAACAAACTAGATACAAAGCTTTAATAAAACTTCCCAAAGAAACAAGAAACATCTACAGGACGGTTTTCAGTTTCCTGGAGGGATGCACGGCTCCTGGGGAGGGCCATATGCTCCTAGTGTTTTTGTTGTTGTTGTTGTTGTTGTTGTTGTTTTAGTTCACTTTAATTGACTTAACCTAGTTTGCAGTGAAAAATTATACTTTGGAAAAAAAATACACTCCATCTTCAATATATTAGAGTAGTAAACAGGATATCCTTTTATTAAGATTTTATTAGGATTAATAACAAAAGTTATTAGCAAAGGCAATCTTATGCTTTATTATTAGGGGAGGTTCAGGTTAAGCAGATACTGGGGCAAAATAAAAATGAAATAAGAACAATAATCTTTTAGTGGCTTCTAGAAGACAGGAAATTTAGGCTGGATAGAGTCCAGAAGTATTAACCAAGGGTAAAAAAATAATATCTGCAGGTCTTTTGGAAATTGTAATTGCTTTTCCATGCACCCTTTTGGGGCTTTAGAGAGTAAGGGTGTGATGAATATTTTATACCCATGTCATTCTCATTTTATAGTCAAAATGTTCACCTTCAGAAATCCATAAATGAAATATAGCAACGGTAACTTCTGTTTTATATAAATAGAGTTACTATCTTTTTTGTTTTCCAAGGATGGATGATAAAATGATCTGGAGATAGCGTTTAATTATACTAACTCAGTTTATCTTCAATATTAGTGTAAGAATTAGCTCAGTAAGTGAGACGTGTTAAATCACTTCCCCTGAAGTCATTAAGAGATAAATATTACCTCATGGGGAATTCTTAATTGTTTTTAGTGTCTTGTACTCAATTCGCAGTTGATGTAAAATTCTTAGATAAAGCTGGCTAACTTCTAATTAACAATCCTCATATAAATTACTATTTGTGCTAAATGTTACAAGCCTGGTAGATTGTGGTTCTCGGATTTTCGGAGCTATTGGGGAAATAATTTTGAGTACCTTTAAAAGTGAATGGGGCATGTAACTGTATATTTTGTTTTTAACTTTAAGAAAATAAATGTTTAAGTAGGTTGGTTGCAATGAGTCTTGCTTGGGAAAACATTATTCAAACTGTAGGGGGGAAAAAGAAATGCTACATTTTCTCATGTGTCCTTAAGGCACTCACTAGTTTCCTTTATATGTAAGTAGCATATATTCCAAGTATGTACAACACATTTCAAGTTGCCCAATGGCAGGTCATTTTTAATTTAGTTGTAGTGGAAATAGCTTACAGTTAAAGGAAGTGATGGGTCAATATGTTATTTAAAAGCTACATTTCTCCACTCTTTCTTCAGTTTGAACAATTACACATGGCAATCAAATGGGAAAATGTGGAAATGGTGATAGACATGTAGAAAAATATGACTTTAGATTTATTCCATACAAACTTCTTTAGAACGGCAACGCGCATGCTAGAGGAGATGATGACAGAAGCTGACGAATCGTTGAAGAGGAACTCAATGCCATGGACAGAGTTTGTGACTCAGTTCCCAGGATACAACTAGCTACTTTTGAAATGTATTTAAGGGGCTCTGGTGCAGCTGTGGTTCAGATAGTTGACTGTTAACTAAAAGGTGGTTGGAGTTCACCAGCTGTACTGTTGGACTATCAGTTTATTTATCAGTTATTTGGCTAACAGTTTCCATAAACATTGAAAGTCCTGGCAAAACTCTATAGTACAGTCTCCCACTGTCTTACAGGATCTGTAGCACTTAGACTCAACTCAATGGAAGTGTTTCAGGGAAAGGTTAGCAGGTCAAATCCACCAGCACCTGTGTTAGAAAAAGACCGAGAACCTGCTCCTATTAAAATTTACAGTCTGAAGAAATCGGTGGTAAGTCATCATGAGTCTGAATTGACTCAGGTGTGTGTGTGTGTGTGTGTGTGTGTGTGTGTGTGCGCGCGTGCTATTGTGTTTCGAGGTTGTAAATGACACAGAAGAAGATTGGGGTCCCAGCTGGTAAGGAATTGAGCTGTCAACTCAAAGGTAGGTGGTTCAGATCCACAAACTGCTCTCCAGGAAAAAATTGGATAATCTCATCCTGTGCCATTTACAACCCCTGAAAACCCACTGGAGGGTCAGTGATAAGCAGGTTGATGATGGTAATGAATCGAGTTTGAGGAGAGAGAGAGAGAGAGTGTGTGTGTGTGTTGCAAACATTGCCTGTAAAACTCTATAAGTAGTAGATCTTGTTGAAACTTTGTTATAGTGGGTAAAGAAAAAATTCTTTTAGCTTCAAACAGTCTAGAACTAAGTTCTGGATTATTTTCTCCCAAGAGTTAGCATCTCAAGTACTGAGAAAGATACTCTTTGTTTCTATGTCTCCTCTTTCTCTTTTCATTTTTAAAATAGGGGGTTGGATTTCTCAGTCTAGAAAAATCACACATTTTATTAAAACAATTTTCTAAGTACACTATCAAATTTCCAAATGGGAATCTTGCTCCTCAAATGGGCAAAAAGGCAAATGAGAAACTAGCCCATAATGAATGACGTTGAAGTTAACACAACAAACATAGTTACCACTATCTGAAAGTAATCACTCGGGATGACCACATCGCCATTCTTCATCCAATTGACTGTCGGGATAGGCTTTCCAGAGACCGCACATTCAAACTCAATGTCCATGCTTTCATACGCGTAGAGGTTGGAAGGATGAATTAAAAACCATGGAGGAACTGTAAAGATAGGGGGGAAAGTGAGTGTATAGAGATGTAAAGTTTCAAGCTAAGGTCTTCTTCACAGAGTTAGAAACCACTATTCTGAGACAGAAATATTTACAATCCAAATAATTTCCCCAGAACTCTGCCTTATTATAGAGAGGTTACTAGGGAACTCTGGGGGCCTGGTGGTAAGAAGCTGGGCTACAATCCCTAAGGCATGCAGTTCAAATCCACCATTTGCTCTGCAGGAGAAGGATAGACAGCCTCTGAAAACCCATTGGAGGGTCTGCTATGACTTAATGGTACACAACAACAACAACAACATAGAACACATCAGGGGTATTTGTTTAAGAATGCAGTCATATTAATAAACAGTTGTAGTTAATGATGTTTGTCACAAGGAAAGAACCTATTAACTGGAAATGATAATTGTTGTTGTTTATGTTAAGTGCCGTGAGTCGCAGGAGACTCAGAGCGACCCTATGAAGGAGAGTCCTTGATGCTTGGGTGCCTTTCATCCTCTCTCCAGGGAATGATAATATATCACATAAACATTCTGAATATCCAAATATTTGGACACGATTAACCACTGAAGCATACAAAGCATTGGACACTATGCTAAAAATATCAATAAAAGTAAAGCTACAAAAGGAAGACTATGCAGAATACAAGAAAAAAAAATTAAGGTCCCTTCTATTTCTAGAATTTCCAAAAGACTTAGTCAATGGATATGGACCATTTCTCTATTGAAACTCTCTATGGCGACGTTGTTAGGTATCTTCTAGGAGACTATGATTCGTAGCGAACCTGTGAACAAAAGATATGACTCCTTACCTATTCTGTGCCATCTTTACAACCACCATCATTTTTTTCATCACTGCATCATTCCTTCTCATTGAGTATTTTCCTCTCCTTTGCTGACTCTCTACCTAGCTCAACATAATAAGGTCTTTTTTAACATATCAAAAGTATGTAGCATGAAATTTCACCACCCTTATCTCTTTGGAGTGTCCTGCTTACACTTATTCTAAACCAGAGTTGTTCGTTCTTTTGGTGATTCATAATGTATTCAATATGCTTCTTCAACACAACACACAATCTTCCTCAGTTTTCCTTATTCATTGTTTGTCTTTTATATGAATACAAAGAACTTGAAACTACTATGGCTTGGATCAGACACTCTATAGTCTTTAAACTTATATCCCTGCCCTTTCGCAATTTTGAGAAGTCTTTGCAGCAGATTTTCACAAAGCAACACACCTTTTCATGTCTTGACTGCTATTATCCTGGGTGCTGATTATGGATCTAAGTCAAATAAAATCATTAATAACTTCAGTCTTTTCTCCATTAATCATGATGTTGCCTTCTGATTCATTGGTAGAGTTTTGTTTTTGTTATTTTGTTTCTCGATGTTGAGATGTATTCCACAGTGAAGGCTATAGTCTTTGATCTTCTTCAGTAAGTGCTTCTAGTTTTCCTCAGTTTTGCAAGCCAGGATGTGCCACCTACTTAATGCAGGTTGTTGATGAGTTTTCCTCCAGTCCTGCTGTCATGTGCTTCTTCATTTATACCAGCAGCATACAGACTGAATAAAGACTGAAGAAAGGATGCAGCCTTCACGAACACCTTTCCTGTTTTTAAGTCATGCAGTATTTCCTTCTTCTATTTGAACAATTATTTCTTGGTCTGTGTATAGGCTTTGCTCAAACACAAATTACGTGTTCTGAGATGCCTATCTTCAATGCACTCCACAATTTATTAAGGATCTGCTGTGACAATAAGGACTGAACAATGATTATACAATTTTTAGTGTGGACACAACCTTGTCCTAGTAATTAGCTATCATAACACATTACTACATAGTATTATTTTCTCAAAATGTATGTGATATACTATTTAAATTTTATTCCTTAATTAGCATAATACTAGTTATTCTATGATGAGTATTGCAATGGAAAGAAAATGACAAATATAGCATGCCTTTGCTCATGAATGTTTAAGCAACACTTCTGTTGCTTAAAGTGCTGGCAAGGAAAGTAAAATGTTAAACGTAATGTTGATCCTCTTCTATGGGGAACATTAAACAAAGTCAGATTTGAATATTCATAGTAAATGAGAAGCCAGATTAAATTCACAGTGAAGTACCAGTCGTGATCTCTTTTTCACATAGGAAATAAACATGCATTTTCATAAGTCATTTTGGAAGTTGAAAACTATGTTTTGGTTTTGTTGATATGCTCAATGAGTAACAAGTGCCAAGTTTTGTTCCTTAGAGTAACGTCCATATTTTGCTGTTTCCAACAATCATCATCAAAGGGAATTTGTCATCAAAAGGAATTTGCAATCTATGACACTCAATGCCTTCTAGAAAAATGGGAGAACAGTGGAAAATGCTAAGATTCAAGTTCTCGTGGGTTTTTTTCCCCATCTTTTTTAAAAATAAAATTTCTACTGTCTTTTGAGAGTTTACAAAGAAAACAGGTTTTCATTCAGCCATTCACACACATTTGTTTTATAACACAAATTCTAATACCCACAATGCATTTCCACTTTCCCCCTGTAAGTTAAGTTCTAGTTTTTCTTTCCGAGGTATCTTAGCCCTCACTGTCATTCATGCATGTTTTCTCTTTCTCTTTCCTCTTGTGTAATTAATTATTTGAACCTCTAGTATTAATGGAGGTCAGGTAGTATAGTCCTTAGGGAGTTGCACTGCTAATCCAATGGTAAACCCCAAAGGTGGTTCGAATCTACCAGTGGCTCTTTGAGGGAGAAAGATGAGCAATTTCCTCTTTTGCAATTAAACCTGCTGTAGTGTCAGCTATGAACTGGTTACAAATCAACAGCAATGAGTGAGTGCATGAGTCCTAAGCAATTTCTACACTGTTCAATATGTCACAGTACAGAATTGACTTGGAGAGCTCAGTTGGGGTACATCAATATTTACAGGTCAAAACCAAGGGAAGTAAGATCTTACAAACATTCTAAAGAGAAAATGCTATAGAGAAATAGCCTAAAGGTGATTATTAATACTATCAGTTGTTGTATATGCTGTGGAGTTGAAACCAACTCAAATTGACATTCCCATTGGGTTTTCAGAGACTATAAATGGCACAGGAGGAGATTATCCATCTTTTTCCTATGATTAATAGTAAAATGAAATTTTTCTTTATTCCTTGGACAAATTAACTGGCAAAAGACATCAGAAATAGACACTGAATGCCTCTAAACACATACTTTAGTTATCTTTTCTGGATTCATTTACCAATTTTAACAGAGATTTTTAAATTGTTTATTTACCAGCAAACAGCCAATACTTATTGAAAGCTGATTATTATACACATTTTATTCTTAACATTGTACATGCTTTATTTGCTTAATTATTAACACAACTACTGGAAATAGGCTCTAGTATCATCATTTTATAAATAAAGAGACCTGGGTACAGGTAATGGGAAAGCTTTCTCAATCACACATTTTACATATCATGGAAACAGACAGTCTGAGCCCGCTGGCTGCATTCTGAACCATTCAACTATCACTTTGTCTTTTATCAGATGAAATTCAGACAGAAGCATAACATAAAACATTCCAGTGCTCTTAAAAATGCAATTACAGAGACAAGCAATTAGAGTTATTTACAATACAAAACAAACAAAAAGAAACACTAGGTCATCCAATCATCCTCTGTCTCTCATTTCTCTTTTGCTGACATCAACTTTGACAAGTGACATATAGTGCTTGCCTTCATCAGAATTCCCAGATAATCAATGGCTGTGTTAGAGGTCTTCAAATTTTAAATAACATCCTTTGGTATATCTTGGATTTTACCATTAAAGCAATATGTGTATGTTTACTTGTATGACATCCTAATGGCATAATGGTTAGTATTTGACACTAAGTGAGAAGTCAGTAATTCCAAAGTCCCAGTTTCTGTGGGAGAAATACATGTTCATTTGCTTCCACAAAGACACATGCCTAGGAAACCTTCGAGAGAAATCTACCATGTCAGAAACAACTCAAAATCAAAAAGAACTTTAAGAGCATAAAGGATGTCACCAGATTTCCTGAATTTAAATTCCAGCTCCGTCATTGTTTGGAAACTAAGGTGCCCCGGATCCAGGCAATTACTCGCTATGCATCAGAAATCTGGACAATGACTAAGAATGATAGGAGAATTGATGCCTATGACCTGTGGTGCTGGAGAAGAGTATTGATTATACCATGGACTGCTAGGAGAACAAACACATTTGTCCTAGAGAGGATGAGACCGGGATGCTCCTTGGAGGGAAGGACTCTGAAGCTTTGTCCGGCATACTTTGGGCATGTTGCAAGGTGGGATCAGTCCTTGGAGGCGGACGTCATACTTAGGAGGGTTGGAGGGACAGTACAAGAGAGAAAGACCCTCGATGAGATGGATTGATTCAGTAACTGGAGTAATGGGGGTAGGAGTGTCAGAGAAAATAAAATTGGGATAGGATAGAGCCGGGTTTAGGGCTGTTGCTAGGGGTGCTAGGAGTTGCAGTGACACAAAAAACCAACCAGAACATTAACAGTCAGTGCTCATTGAGGGTAATGGTAACGTGTTTTTAAGGGGCTTATCACATATCTACCATAAGCAGTGTATATTTTTTATGTTAAAAACAGTAAGTAGAAAACTAATAGAACATTTACAAATAGTACAAATAATTATGATACAGTTGGATATCTTTAAAAACAGGTTATTTGGCTTAGGTGATGGATGTGCTCTAATACTTTTAGGTAGATTATTTCTGTTTCTCTTGCTTGAGTGGTAGAAAATACTTTTTTTTTTTCAGTCTCTCTCAAAGAAATTAAATGGAATGTCAAAATCCTTGCTTCTAAAGAGAAACCTGGCTTTACCCTCTTCAAGACAGACCTATTTCGTTTCACTTTGCGTTCCATAATATCTTTAATATTCTTCTCCAGAAACACAATTCAAAGGCACTGATTCTTGTTCTGCCATCCTTAGTCATTGCCCAACTCTCTGATGCATAGCA